CAAAGATAAGAGGCCCACAGAAGAGGGTAGGAAGGGCAGAGAGGCGGTGGGTGCTACACGGACTGGCGGGAGGGAACCCGAGCGGTGAAGGGGCAGCCTGCCAGGCAAGGCGGAATCCCAAAGTCTGTCTTGCAAAAGCAGAGGGGCCAGACTGCATGAGTTCTGACAAGCAGCGGGACTTAACATCTAGAATGTTATAAGTCAACAGCTCTGCTCAGAGAGTGGAGGGTGAGAGAACACTGGGAGGGAGAGGTGTTGAGCCCTGGAAGACAGAGCTCAGCTCGGCAGGGAACAAAGCGCTGGCCAGCACCATCTCCCTCTCCCATCCCCCAGCCGAAATCCCAAAGGGAACCAGTTCCCCTCACGGAACTTGCTTGCACCTTGCAAACACCCAACACTGTGCTTCTGTGGATCCATCCCTCCGAAGGATCAGCCTCCCTCCCAGTGCTGCAGGGCCCCTCCCACAGCGGACCTACGGCAAGGTAGCTGAGCCTGCCCCTCCCGCCCCTGTGCACCTTGTGGATCCACCCCGGCTAATATGCCAGACCCCACTGAAGCAGCACCACAAGTCTGGCAGTGTGCAAGTAGCCCAGACAGGGGCCACACCACTCCACAGTGAGTCCGGCCCCTCAGAGAAGGGAAGATAAGGTACACATCAGTCTGACTGTGGCCCCAGTGTTGGGCTGGGGACAGACATCAGGTCTGACTATGGCCCCACCCACCAATACAAGTTACTCCAGACAGCACAGGGGAAGTACCCTGCAGTTCCGCGCCGCCTCAGGGACTATCCAAAATGACAAAATGGAAGAATTCTCCTCAAAAGAAACTCCGGGAAGTAGCGACAGCTAACAAATTGATCAGAAACGATTTAACCAATATAACGGAACATGAATTTAAAATAATAGTCATAAAATTAATCGCTGGGCTTGAAAAAAGTATAGAAGACAGCAGAGAATCTATTGCTACAGAATTCAAGGGACTAAGAAAGAGTCAGGAGGAGCTAAAAAATGCTATAAATGAGGTGCAAAATAAAATGGAGGCGACCACAGCTCAGATTGAAGAGGGAGAGAAGAGAATAGGTGAATTAGAAGATAAAATTATGGGAAAAGAGGAAGCTGAGAAAGAGAGATGAAAAAAGCCAGGAGTATGAGGGGAGAATTAGAGAACTAAGTGATGCATTCAAATGCAACAATATCCATATAATAGGAATTCCAGAAGAGGAAGAGAGAGAGAGGGGCTGAAGGTGTACTTGAACGAATATAGCTGAGAACTTCCCTGATCTGGGGAAGGAAAAAGGCATTAAAATCCACGAGGCAGAGAGAACTTCCTTCAGACGTAACTTGAATCGACCTTCTGCACGACATATAGTGAAAATGGCAAAATACAAGGATAAAGAGAAAATTCTGAAAGCAGCTAGGGATAAACACACTCTAACATATAAAGGGAGACTGATAAGACTAGTGACAGACCTACCTACTGAAACTTGGCAGGTCAGAAAGGAATGGCAGGAAATCTTCAATGTGATGAACAGAAAAAATATGCAGCCAAGAATCCTTTATCCAGCAAGTCTGTCATTCAGAATAGAAGG